TAATGTTTTGTTAGAAAGGGACTCAGAAACTGAATTGGTTAAAGATTGCATGATTAAATGGGCACAGAATTTTGCAGAACCAGTAATGTTGGAAACATGGGAGAAAGTATGGGTTCAGAATGTTAAATTTACGCAATCGCAGAATTTGAGGGAAAATTTTTATAAGATGTTTTACAGATGGCATTTAGATCCCAAGAAATTATCCTGTATGTATCCTAATGTTCAGCCAAAATGTTGGAGATGTGATTGTTTAGATGCTACATATTATCATGTTTGGTGGAATTGTAAGAAAGTTAAGGCTTTTTGGATAAAAATATGGTGGGTTATGCAGAATATTTTGAAGAAAAAAATTCCATTTTCTCCACAATTGTTTTTATTGGGTATAGTAAAGGGTTTTACACAGGATGAAATTAAGTTGATATTGTACATGATAACTGCAGCGAGATTATTGATAGGTAAATATTGGAAAAATGAAGCTTTACCCACTATCGAAGAATGGACTTTGAAGATGGCCAGTTTTGCCGAGATGGCGAAGATTTCAGCATATTTAAAAGATCGCTCACAAGAGACTTATGAATGGGAATGGAAAAAATGGATAGATTATGTGCAGAACAAATATCAAGTTAGAAAGTACCAAATAGTTTTTCATTGAAAGTATTATATAAAAATAGAAATGTATGAAAACTGTGAAGATAAAAAAATTTTTAAGGGGGTCTGAGGGGTTCAAGTTTTATAAAAAGGGGATTTTGATGGGATTATTTTTTGTGGAAGTCAGGGGGGAGGGTTAGGGAGGGTTTGGGGGGTTAGGGTGGGGTGTGGGGGCTGGGATGGGGGGGGAAAATGGGGTGAAAATGTAATTGTAAAACTTTTGCAATAAAAAAAACTTACATCTCTCTCCCCCCTCCCCCAGTCCTCAAAATCACTGGGTCATTCATGGCCATCCAGTTCTGAATGGCGCCACCCCATTTTTGGTCATTTCCAATCCATCCCAGTTTTTTAGATGGATTGTTGATGAACTTGGCATGGAGCCATTCACATTCCCTGGAATGTTCAAAAGATGGACAGGCCATCATACAGGCTTCATTTTCACACCATGCTTTCTCAGCCATTGCCATCTTATTCTGCTTTGAGATGGTCAGACTCTTTTACAATTGCAATTGTATTGTTTTCTTGTCCTTAGGACTCGTGTCTCCTCCCAAATGCTGCTTCAAAGGAGAATTCAGATCTGAGTTTCAGCCTAGCTTGGCCTCTTTCACCGAGTGTCATTTTCCCCCCCTCAAATCTCAGAATTTGTGGATGAGCCCCATCCTATTCATTCCTGGGTGTCGGTCCTTTGGGGAAATGGTATAGGGCAGTTGCAAACATTGTTTTTTATGTTTCAGGTATGAAATGTCTACCCACTCATGTAGATCATAATGGAAAAGAGATAATTAATTTCCTATAACTGAAAGTATTTGAGTGGTCACCTATGAATTTATACAACCTGCTTTATTACCATTCATGCTTCCCAAGGGATTTTACTGATTCTTTAGATCTATCGTATAAGACTTTAGAGCTGAACATGCAGGGACAAAGATTCTCCAAAATGAGAGCCAGTTTGCTGTAGTGATCAAGGCCAGGGGTGAAATGCTACCGGTTTGCACTACCGGGTGAACCGGTAGTAATAAAAGCTACTGATTCGGATGAACCGGTAATAAAAAAATGCTACCAGTTTGTACTAGTATTTCCGACAATTGGCTGTACTGCTCAACTTACATTCGCTAGAAAGCGGGAAATCCTGCTTTCTAGTGAACCTAAATTGCGTGGCACAGCTGTTCCCCCTGCCCTCACTGTTCTACTTCTTAAGCCTCCTTTTTCCGTGCGAAGTGCATGCTTGGTGTGCACTGCATGCACGCGCAGCGTGCATTTGGTGCACACTGTGCATGCGTGTGCAACATGTGCTTGATGCACACTGCACATGTGCACACAGCATGCGTTTGGTGCGCATTGCACATTTGGTACACTGCATGCGTGCATGCAGCACACATTTGGCATGCACCACACATGCGCGGGTAGCGAACCGGTGGCAAACTGCAGAGGATTTCACCACTGGTTAAGGCGCCAGGCTAGAAACCAGGAGACCGTAAGATCTACTCCTGCCTAGACACAAAGCCAGCTGGATGGTCTTGGTCCTGTCACTCCTTCAGTCCAACCCACCTTACGGGGAAAATTGGAAGAGGATGAACATTAGGTGTATTCTTCACCATGAGTTATATATAAAAAACAACAAATGTGGAATAAAAATCTAAATAAATAAGATGAGCTTCTCAACTGCATAGCCAAGGCCTGTTATTACCTGGACTTCTGCTGGCCTGCTTTTGGGCAGACAGTCTGACTGATAGAGCTCAGCTCTTCGCTGTTGTATCTTTCAAGCAAACCTTTGCTTGAACTTAAAGATTTGAGATGCTACCAATGAGTGCAGATAGGGAGACCTGGAAGTTACTGGAGCTGCCTTAGCCAGAGTGGACCGATTGGCTTCTACTGTTGAACTCCCCCACTCTTCCAGGATTATTATCCCTAGATGCCCCTATTTATTTATTAAATTGTGTATGTTGTCTGACTCCTAACAACTTTAGGCAGCTCTGAATCCATCTCTTCCTGCTGAGAAGAGAAACCCAGCAGGGGGCATCGCAAGAACCTTGCTGAGTTGCAGAAGGAATGGCAAGACTATTCTTTACAGAAGAGTTTTTAGTCTACTCTATAGAGTGTTGAATTTGGATCAGGGAGATTTAGGATACATTTAGATTCCTGCCCAAACAAGTCCTCAGCCAGGTTCATGCACCATGCTTTGGTAATTATGATTTAATGACAGTTAATTGAATAAATCAATCTTAATTGAGTTTGCACAGTGTTCTAAGTCGTAAACCATGCTCCACAGATCACATTGGCTTGATCCAGACAGCATACTGACTAAGCTGGAAACAAGCCATGTGATAACTTAGGGCAATACATGATCAAAGTCACTACTTCATTGCTTTATTTACTTGATTTATTATAAAATACAAAGTAAGGAAAATCCATTTATTCAGAGGGTAAAGGTATAATAAGCAATAAGCTAAAATATGAAAATGATGGCACAATGCTAGAAGCAGGTACTGTATTTTTCGGAGTATAAGATGCACCTACCTTTTTTGGTGAGGAAAAGAAGAAAAAGAAATCTCCCTCTGCCTCTGAGCAATTTTACCTCCTTACAGCAAACAGCCTGCTTTACTTTCATTTTCATTTTCAGCATAGCTTGATTAGCATAAGGAAGAAAAAAAATCTGCTCCAGCAATTTACCTCTTTGCAGCAAGCAGCAGAGGCCTGTGCAAAACAGCTGAGATCAAATCAGCTGAGAGTCAGGAGGCTGTCCCAATCAACTTGTGCTAATCAACTTGTGCTGTGCTGAAGCTGAAAGCTGTTTTTTCTTGCTGTTTGCTTGCAAGGATGTAACGGCTGCGAGGCAGAGGCCAAAGGGTGGGGGCCAGTGGGTGAGTGGGGCTACATTCGGTGTATAAGACGCACCTAAATTTTCACCCCCTTTTAGGGGGGAAAAAGGTGTGTCTTATACTCCGAAAAATACAGTATATCTTACCATTTACTATGACCATACCACATTAAATTAATTGAAACCAGCATATATGGGATTGCTGTTTTAAATAAAAACTAATAAAGACTAACTTTTTTTAAAATTTACAATGAATAAACAAGTTTGCATAGAAGCGTCTATATAACCATAGCATAAGAGATTATGTCTTAATCATTGGATAGTGAATTTTTAAAAGATGTTTAATCAATGTTTCCACATTTTTGCTACTATTTTTTTCTATAACCAATATTTGGATAGCTGTTAAATCTGTTGCAGGTATTTTTGGACTTTCTATTGATTGGACTGAAATTATGTAGGTCAGCTACTTAATATCAAGACAAGCTAAGATCGATAAACCATATAGTCCCAGCAGTTAGTTGTTGCAGTGTGCTGAGAAACTATACTTTTGCTGCTGAGCACCACTCCATGAAGGACTGGCCTTAACCAAAGGCAGTTTAAGATAGAGATATGAGTTGCTATGTAAATATTATACAGATGCACCGTTGGTACCAACACTGGGACTGATATCTGTGGTTCATACCATTTAGAATTATGTGTTTTCATGTCTGCCATCTTGTAACAATCTCAAGAAAATCAGGTCCCCTTTCCTGGCAACCCAATGGAAGTTGGTGATCCACTAAAAGTTGCTTTTACGTGTTGATTGCATATATTCAACTTTTTCCTTGCCTCCACCTTCTCAGTTGACTTTTTGTGGTGTATTGCAGTATTATATTTAAAATATACTGCTCAAAAAAATAAAGGGAACAAAAGCAGAAAGCATCCGAGATCTGAATGAATGAAATAGCCTTATTAAATACATGTCTTCTGCTTGTGTTCCCTTTTTTTTTTAAGCAGTGTACATACAACATTTGCATTTTGTAAATCTACGCATGCTGTTCCTTAGCTTACCAAATGTAACTAAAACTTCAGATAGTCAGAATAATCAAGCAATAATATCTCATGGGTAATTATCACTGAACAGAAGCAGAGAACAATGCAAACTGCCATGAGGCCACAGAACAAATGATAAACAAGCAAGCATAGACTGAGATGATCTAAGGCAGAACTATGTAAAATCAGAATAATAAATTAAATAATTGTATAATTGTCTTTTGATATTATTTTATTTTTGTTTCAAATAGACGAACAATTGGAAAATTTCAGAGCTAGCACAGAACTGTGAGCAAACGAAAAATTGGAAAACACATAATATATTCAGATGAAATGTTTCCAAGTCAAGTGGAGACCAATCTGCAAATAGACCAAATTTGTTTGCATCAGATCTATATTAAAATGTATCACTTTTAAGGATTTTTAGAGACAACTTATTATTGAAAAATTGAAAAATGATGTGCATGTACTTTAAATAAATCAAATGCAGTAATACCTGAGCATTCATTAAAAAAAAGTTTATTCAGAACAACTAGCATAAAACATTTATATAGTTTAACCTTTTACAAGGCTACGGGGAACAAAATAATACAATTCCACTGAGACGATTTCAAATCTGAATATAGTATATTTTTAGGTAGTGCAATCATTTTTAAGAAAGCGTTTCCTCTTCGACTCTTTTGCTGCCAAGTCTTTCCAATTCTCAACTTCGATGTTTCAGATATGAAAGGTAGACATTCCATCCCAATGTCACTACATTCACAAACAACACTCGGTATTTTGAGGGGAGATATAGAAAATTAAACATTTGAGCCGCTGGCCAAATAGCAAGTTCTGCCAAATAATAGTCCCAGAATTTATCTCTAAATTCATCAATGCCGTCTGCCAAACTGTGGCCTTGAAGGAGTGCCATAATTATGAAATACCAACCTCCGAAGAATGGAGCAAAGGTCTGGTCAATTACTACCTTCGTGATGACAACTTTAAATTTCTGAACTCCTTTTCTTGGGTTTATTTTGTCTATCCATAAATACCAGTAATGCAGGAGTGGTCCAGAGCTACATCCAGTGACTAACATGCGAAATGTACGGTCAGTATCCCACGATTTTTCCTTTTTCCTTCGCTCCAAAGACTGCTGTATTATATCCGCAGCTCCTAATAAGAGTCCAGAGCTAATTGTGTTGACTATTAAAAGTTTGTGACCACCATAAGCATATATTTTTGCCAGCCTGGTCAACTGTCGTATAATATGGGAACGCATCTCATTTTTGTTGTTGCTCTGAATTAAATTCTTTCTTTTCTCAGACTGATTCAGTATCTTCAGGCACTACTTTATAGTATCTTCATGGAGATTATTAAGTAGATAATTCAGGATAAAGATCAGAAGAAAAATCAATTTAAAACTAGCATGTAAGATGAGATACAGGAAATACATCACAATATTCTATTGAAGACTTTTACTTTGATGCCTTATTGTGATGTCACTGCTGAGCTTCAACATCTTGCACTTAATGGAGAAGAAAAATAACATCAACTGAACAGGTATCCAAATAATTGTTCTTAGATCATGTATGAAGTGTAATTCATAGAAGGGGAAACCATACTTCTTAAATCTTAAATCTTAAATGAGGACCCAGATTGTGGGGGCAATAAGAGGACTTTGTATAAAAAATACAAAAATATGAAGGCTATTGCTTAACACATTGTAAACCGCCCTGAGTCTCCGGAGAAGGGCGGCATATAAATCAAATAAAAAAATAATAATCTGGTTTTCAACGACTCATCTTTTTACATGTGCTACATACCTGCAAAAAGGGGTGGTGCTTCAAATGCCTTGGTCATGGCCACTGTTTTGATGTCATTGATCTTTCTTGTGGACACTCCTGGGATGCAGTCTTTGGAAAGAGCAATAGACCTGCTCTTAAATAAGGATTTAGCATTCCTTTGAAACAGAGCTAGACTTGTGATTAAAAAACTAAGGTTGCTGCACTAAAGGTTGGTTTTAATCCAAAAAGAGAGCCAGGTGCTTCTAGCGTTCACCAATTTTGTGCATTGTGGTTTCCACTTCATGAATTTGTACCTCTTCTGTTTTTATTACTCTGCTTGAGGGCAGTGCCATTTGATCCATTCCTCCACCATTCTGCCTACTTCACAGGCAATGTCCCGATACTTCCAGCCCTGGCTACTCATTGTGTCCTGCTACATCCGTGAGCCTAATAGACTGGCCACAATGGACTGGGAGCAGAATCCCAGGGGAACGAGTTGGGGGCGCCACAACACTCCTCAGAACCTCTCAGCGACTGTGAGCTGTCTGTCAGTTTTGGAAGACAAGTTTACTTTTTGCTTCCTAACTGCCACATATTTTAGCCTGGGAAATTGGGAGGGGGTTTTTGTTGGAAAAGTTAGAAATAGCAACATTCCGTATTTAAGGACACTTTTGCCTACATCTGCTGGAGACTGCCTAGAGATTGTATTCAGTTGAATGTGAAAAGTTGATTGGACTATGTAATGAACTTGTGGGTGTGGGACAGGGGTGTGAACTGTTAGCTGGGTGGAGAAAACCTGGAAGCTTTCAGATTCGGGTTTTCCCAGATATGCCAACATGACATCTCTAATAAATTGGAACTTAGAGGAACCTCAGGCCTCGGAGTTTTATTTCATTGAGGGTGTTCCTTGGAACCCTGACACTGTCAGTTGGGGGTATTTCTGAAAATAGGTCCACCCTATTTTTGAAAGAGCAGTGCAGCCACACCTGAAAATAACTTCGTTGACCATCACATACATCGGATCTCCGGGTCTTTCGCCATGCCCTGAAAACTTTTCTTTTCCATCAAGCAGGGCTGGCGTGAAACCCCCCCCTTCTTTAGTCTTTTTTAGTTTTTTAGCTTTTAAATTGTCAATGGGTTTTAATTTGAATTGTTTTAAATTTGGGCCAAAGTTATGTAATTCTTTTAATAATTTTAAATTTTGTATTGGTATGTGTTTTAGTTCTGGCTGTGCACCGTCCTGAGTCCACTAGGAGAAGGGCGGTATACAAATTGAATAAAATAAATAAATAAATATACTTTTGCTGCTGAGCACCACTGCATGCAGAAGGACTGGACTTAATCAAAGGCAGTTTAAGATAGAGAGATCAGTTGCTATGTCAATATTATACAGATGCACCGTTGGTACCAACACTGGGAGTGGTATCTGTGGTTCATACCATTTAGAGTTATGTGTTGAAGTAACCGTTTTCATGTCTCTGCCATCTTGTAACAATCTCAAGAAAATCAGGTCCCCTTTCTTGGCAACTGTTCTGTCCCCGTCTCCACACACACACACAAACACAGCCAGCCGAGGGTTAAGAAAGCACTTGGCACGCACAGATTGTTGTCAGAAACTTGGCAGCAATACGAGCACCGACTGCCAAGTGCTTTTACTTCAGTAAACGGAATATCCCTTCACCAGATAAATAGAAATACACACATTTTATAAATAGTCCAGTTCCAAACAAGAAACCTTTCGGCAGCTTTAAGCGTTGTTCAAGTGACTAGCCAGAGTTAGTTTTTATTCGTCACAGAGACTTAAATGGCCACCACGCTCTCTCATATAGTCTCTGGGGTGTGGTCCAGTGACTCAGTTATAATCCCTGGCACGCCTCCTTAACTGCTGCAACCGTTTTATCATGCCTTCATTGGCGTGGATCCAGGAATGACAGATCACCTCCCTCGCTCTCATCGGAGACACCTGGCTCCTGGCTAATCTCCTCTTCCTTGGCCGGCACTTAAGGCAATGCCAGAGGGGAGGGGCCTGGAGAGGGAGGCCTGGCCGACTCCTCTTCTTCATGTTTGGAGCCTTCTTCCTCCGATGAGATAGGCTCGGAGGGCGGGGCCACAACAGCAACCCAGTGGAAGTTGACCATCACAATCCTGGAGATGTGAGAGGCAATTCTTCCAGTGCAGTACACCAGATCCTGCCCATCTTACCCTCATATGCCCCCTCTGGGCCTGTGACCTGTCAGCTGGCATATCTCTGAACACAGAACTTTTCCTTGTGTTAGGCTTGTGTTCAGCAGTAGCTGAACAGCATGTTAGTCAGGCAGCTTGGTGAGTTCAGCCCACCTTTCAGCCATTCATATTTGCCAGGTCTCTGCAGAAGTACCAAGTCCTACAGGATCACAAAGCGTTCGGCAGAGTAATGAATTGCAACAGTCCCATCATGCAGTGCATGCAATATACAAGGACAGGAAGTTGAGCCCCAGCTGTCCTCATCCCACGACATACAAGGTTAATTAAAATGTCCAATAATTTCTAAATATGGAGGTTTGTATTCATTAAACAGTGACAGATCTTCAATATGTCTTTTATTTATTTAGAACCTGTATGTAAAAAGTCAAAAGGGCTGAGGATCAGCAGCTTACACCCACATACAATGACATTACCAGGAAGAGTGGGATATGTCAGAAACACAAACAGCAGAGGAATGGGACTCCCTGGAAGATTCCAAACCGTTAAGTACACCTGAAGTACCGGCTGTGTACCTGGAGAGAGTTCAATCATGGCAAAGGGCCCTGCAGTATTACAGAGCATTAGAGTACTATGAATGTTATAGATTTGTATATATGGAACATGTTCGGTCATTAACACATGCTATAGATGTTATTCATAATGAGATACAGAATCTTTTGAACGGTATTTCCATGGAGATAAGACCAAATGATTTTGTACAATTGCAGCTGGATGCTGAGGAATTAGGCAGACTGCTCTTTAATGTTAGGAGACCCTTAGAGGCGTTAAATGCTGACCGGTTCCTTAGTTATGTAGAGAGTATTACAAAGCAATGTGGAGATCTTATGGAGGAACTCTTTGGAATTAACAGTCACTATTATTAAAAACTATGAGAGGGGAGAGCTTAGGAAGTTAGGAACAGTTCTATTCAGTAAGATTTTGGAGAAGAAAAGGCAACACCTGGTTGATTTCAATGTGGAGGGTCTATTTTTGTGTTTTGCAGGCAGCCTGCTGTTATTGTTAGACAATGAGGTGTCTGCTAAACAAGAAATTATTACCAGAGCCACAGACCTCCATAACACACTTGGGATATCTACATCCCACAGAATTGATTTCTCATAGATACACATATTTTAGGACTACTTCGGTATAACGATAAAGATCGTGTTTTATCATGAAGGGGGTTGGAGGTTTTTTGTAATTGGAGGGGCCCTGCAAGAAAAAGTGTTATTTATGTTGTTACATGACAGTCATTATTACGAGGTAAAAAACACCAAAGGTTCCATGGGGGTACGTTACTTCTGCAAGCTGTGCCACACAGCATATCACCACAAACTTAGATATGATTGTCAATATTTTTGTTGAGCCTGTTTGGGGTCAGAATGTGGTAGGGAGGAGAGTAAGATGCCCTAAGTGCAAGATGCATTGCCACTCTAGGGTCTGTCTTGAAAGACACGAACGATTGTCTGTGGAAGGAAAAATTGTTTGTGAGTATAATGTATTTTGTTCCAGGTGTGGTATCTATGTGTCTGCGCTGCATGCACTGCATGTTGAATATAAGAAATCGAAGTGCAGACAGTGTGATACCAAAGTAGATAGCCTGACAGGTCATTTATGTTTTCTGAAATGGATTTTTAAGCCAAATATCAGCTACAGATACATTGTGTATGATTTTGAATGCTGTCAAGAAACAGGGACACACATACTGAACTATTTCTATGCCATGGACATGTTGGACGACGGTGATGTTAGGAAATGGGAATGGTATGGTGAATGGTATGGCAATAACCTCCCACCGGCCAATACGCTCTCACAGAGAGGGCCTCCTCAGGGTGCTGTCGGTCAAGCAATGTCGGCTGGCAGCCCCCAGGGGGAGAGCCTTCTCTGTGGGAGCACCCGCCCTCTGGAACGAGCTACCTCCCGGAATACGGCTAATTCCGGATCTCTGCACTTTCCGTAAGGCCCTGAAGACATTTTTATTTCAGCAAGCCGGCCTGGCCTGAATAGGTTTTAGGGGTTTTTTTTTAATTGTATTGCTAGGGGTTTTAAATTGGGGCGGCCGTTTAATTTAATTTATTTTTAATTATTTTAACTTTTATATTGTATGTTATTTTAATTCTCGGCTGTTCACTGCCCTGAGTCCCTTCAGGGAGAAGGGCGGGATATAAATTTAATAAATAAATAAATTAATAAATTAAATTAATAAATTAAATTAATAAATTAAATTAATAAATTAAATTAATAAAATAAAATAAAATAAAATAATAAAATAATAAAATAAAATAAAATAAAATAAAATAAAAGTGTCTGGAGGAATTTGTGAAAATGTTTGTACGGCCCAAGTTTAGAGGTTCCACATTCATCGCTCACAACTTCAAGAGCTAT